AGGGTTTCAGTAATTCCTCTCGGGTTACATTACCCTTGATCACTCCCTACCAGGCCTCTTACATCCTCCCCACTACTGATTTGGATCACTTGTTGTTTCCTTGCTCCTGGGTTTGTTAACACCACTTCCTTTCCCCCCTACCTCTACCTCTCCCATGTCCCCCGCCCCCTCCCAGAACTGTTGGTCCCATTGTTTTCTCCTCCAGTATGTATTTTCTTTTGAAAGAAATTTTTATTGTGAATTGGGTGTAGGTTTACAGAGCAGATAGTCAATTTTACATCCAATAAATCGTATGCATTTTATTTCATCTCATTTATTGCAAGCCTCTTAATGTAACATCGCGTATCGTACTGCCTCCCTGTGTTTCCACTATGCCTCCTGCTTTCCTAACCCTTTTGAACTTGGTCCTTGGGTGAATCCTGCCTTTTTTATTTCAAATGGTTGATTATCCAAAGGTGTTCATACCTCCTTAGTGTTATTGTTTCCTCTGATAGACCTGTGTATTTGGCTGAAAATTGGAGCCACAGAGGTAAGTTCATTTCCAGGGACTTTGACAGTCATCACTCTTCTTTCCTCCAGACAGGGAAAGACCAATAATTCCACGTGAGATGGCTCCTCGTGAACTTGTAAGACCCAGTGGCTACCCACCAAAGTCGGATGTTGAATATTGTTTGGGGCTGTAGTAGGCCCATGGTCTTTGCTGTCCCTTGATACCATGGTCCTGATCCTCCAGTGGCTCATTTCCTCTAGGTGTTTGCTTGTACCTAGGAAGTTTTTGCTCCTCTAGGCACCACCCCATACATGGATATATTTACAGCAAAGGTAAATACATAGATACAAATGCGTTTATGTACTTGTGAATATATACCCACTCTCCCTCCCACACCCCTTTAGCCAGCATGACTCTACTCATTGATCACTTTTTGTAGGATTGTGTACATAACAGTATTTACTCCTCTTGCCTTTAATTCTTGTACTCTTCCCAATATCTGACCCTGGTTCCATCAGTGTTTGCTTATGTCTCATCTATTGTCTGCCCCTTCGTCCAAGTTAACACGTGCCCACCCTCTAGCCAGTGACTTCCCTCCCGTCCTCTCCTACACCTGGTCAACCTCCAAGAATGTTCCTCTTAGTGTGCAAACTTTTTCTTGACCTTTTTACCATAGAGATCTCATACAATATTTGCCCTTTTGTGATTGACTGACTTCCCCCAGCCCGATGTCTCCAGGTTCCTCCATGTTCTGAGGAATTCCGCAGATTTCCGTGTTATTCCTTGACACTGCATGCTATTCCATTATGTGTCTACACCAACACTTTGTTTGTTCTATATTCCTTCAACAGGAATTAGACTGTTGCCACCTTTCTGAGATTGTGAATAGTGCTGTGATGAACATGAGTGTGCACACATCTACTCCTGTGGAGGCTCTTATTTCTGGTCATATGATAATCGAATTTCCAGCTTTTTGAGGACGCAGTGTACCATTTTCAACAGCAGCTGCACCAGTGTACAGTCTCACCAGCACTTTCCCCACCTCTTGCCAGCCTCTTGTTGTTTTGCTAAACGTTGCTCTTGTCACTTGGTGAGATGACAGCTCATGGTGGTTTTGAAGCCCATCTCTAATGGCTAATGCTCTGCAGCACTTCTTCGTATGCTCATTGACTGCCTGGATGCATTCTTTGGTCAGTAGCTCATGTCCCCTCATTTTTTAGTAATCGTGTCCTCTCATCATTTTTAATGGCACGATTTGTGCTTTCTTGCTTTGCAGGGTGGTGGTGGTGAGGTATTGAAGTTATTTCTAACTTCCAGAGAGAGATTAATCCCTTGTCTGATAGGTCAAATGATGTTTTATGGTCTCTTTTTACCCTTTTGGTGAATTTTTTTGATGTGCAGGAGTGTCTAATATTTGGCAAACTCCAGTCAGCTATTTAGAAGCTTTGGTGGCACACTGGGCTGATAACTATATGGTCAGCAGTTCGAAGCAACCAACCAGTTCCAGGGAGAAAGACTAGGCTTTCTAATCCTGTGAAGAGTTACAGTTTCAGTAAGGTACAGGGACAGTTCGACTCCGTTCTGGAGGACAGTAATTTAGTGATGTTTTTGTTTTGTTTTTTGAATCCCTATTTTTATCTTCTGCTATTGGTGCATTCTCAGTTGTTTGATCACGTATTTATGCCATATGTTAGGGACCCAGATGCATATATTTTTCACTACATTTTAAAAGGCTAATACTTATCATTACAACACTCACAAGAAGGGAGTCCCTAAATGTGGTGGCCTAGAGGGGCCCTCCTAGAGAGAAATCCTCTGGAAGAGTGACCCGGAACAGAGTAGGCCTCAGGAGCCTCCTAGGGCTCAGAGAGGCTGGAGCCTCTGTCCTCAGTGCCATCCCCCAGGCCACAGGTACTGCTGGGTGCTGCCATCCAGTCCCATCCATTCCCTGGGACTCCTGTGTGTGGAGAGCGGCTCCCTAAGTTTCCGACCTTCTGAAAGGTTGATGATCTGAACCCCACCCCAGTGGCTCTGGGTGGGGAGAGAGGCAGAGTCATCTGCTCTGTAGGGCTTAATGCACTCACCCACAGCCACCCTACAGGATAGAGCAGAACTGCCCCAGGGGGTTTCTAAGACATCTTTATATCACACTCTTCCTCCCACAGCGACACTGCAGGGATTAAAATCACAGATCTTTGCTGTGAAGCTGAGGGCTTTCTTCACTGCCTCAGGCATGTGAGTTAGGTCAAGGAGGTCACCTGGAGCCTGAATCAAGTCTGGTGGTACCAAACCACCCCGGGGTGGGGCAGGATCTGCTGCTGCAGGAGAGACTGTCTAGGCTCCACCCACCTGGGCAGGTCCCCCACCCTGTGCTCCACCTCCTCACCTCTGCATTCTTTAAGGCCTCTGTTCACAGCTCTTCCTTCAGAGACCGACATGGCAGGACAGGTGACAATGCAGCTGCTGTTCCTCTTGCTGCTGGTGGCTGACGGATGGGGTATCATGCGCCAGAGTAGGCCGGCCAGGACGGAACTCCTCAATGTCTGCATGGACGCCAAGCACCACAAGGAAAAGCCAGGCCCTGAGGACAAGCTGCATGACCAGGTGGGACAAGTGGGGGGACCTTGGGGTGGGAGTCAGCTCAGGTAGAGAAAGTAAGGAGGTGGAAGTGTCCTAAACCCCCAGCATAGTTGTTACCGGAGGAGAAAGATGCAGGCAGGTAGGCCTATCTGAGAAGATCACCAAATCCTAGCTCCTCCCAACACTAACATCGCCAGCCAGTTCATTCTTTTTCAGAGCGATCCTGTAGCGTAGGGACGAGAATAGAACTGCCCCGTGGGTTTCTGAAGCTATGACTCTTTATAGGAGTAGAAAGCCCCATCTTTATCCTGTGGAGCCACTAGTAGTTTTGAACTGCTCACCTTAAGAATCCAGCCCAATGCCTAAACACTACCCAAACAGGGCTGCTTGGTTGGTGGGGGCTGGGTACCTTGATTCTGCACCTAGAACTTATATAACACATCCAGCCCACTGCCAGCAAATTAACTGCAACTCAGACTGGCGCTACAGGAAGTGTAGAACTGCCCCTTTGTGTTTCTGAGGCAGCACACCTGTACGGGCACTTCTTTCGTTGTCTTGGTCTCAGGGAGTGGCTGGTGAAGACTAACTGCTAGCCTTGTGGTGAGCAGCCCTGCAGGCAGCCCATGACACCCAGAGCTGAGCTCCCTGCCGTGGAGTAGAAGTTGATGCATAGCTACACTTAAGGCTAGGGTAGAAAGAATTGTGTCAGGTGGGTTTCTGAGGCATCACTGGCCCACAAAGCCTGGTCTTTCTGCTGTGGTGGGGCTGGTTTAGAACTGCTGGCTTTGTGGTTAGCAGGATGACTCAGAACCCCAACACCGCCGTGCTTCCTGTTATTCCAGCTCCTCTCCCTCAGCCATCCTAATTCCTCCCAATTCGTAGCCATTCTTTAGCACAGGGTAGAACTGCCCTCGTTGGCTTCTGAGACTAACTCTCGACAGGAGGAGAGTCACTTTTTTCTCTAGCGTAATCCACCGGCTGATGTTGTGATTCATAACCTGACGGGTGACCACCAGAGCTTCAATTCATAGAGGGTCTTCTAACGTTCAGAAGCAAAGGTGTCACTTGGAGGACTAAAGTGCATCTGATCCAAGCCGTGGTGTTTTGACACCACTCACTTGAATGAGAGGCTTCACCAGGAGGAGAAGTTAGACCAACTCTGGGCTCACGCGTGGTGAGCAGCGGGGGTGAGGAGGGTGCAGACCGGGCAGGGTTTCAGCATCTTGCACAGAGGGGCACGACTCAACGGGATGTCGGGAATGTAAAGGAGCTCGGGGAGCATGGGTGCCTTAGTGGTTGGCACTGGGCTGCAGGAGCTTGTGGGGGTCAAAGGAAAGGCTTTCTACTCCTGTAAGGAGCTACAGTCTGGGAACCCCCCAGGGGGCAGTTCTACCCTGCCCCGTAGAGTTGCTATGTATTGCGGTCCACTCAGTGGCAGAGAATTTTTGTTTGTTTGCTCCTCTCACTCCCACACCCCCTTTGTTTCATTTTGAATCATCTGTTTTATCTTGTGCTGCTTGTGTGTTTCCAGTTAGGTTTGTGCCAAGTGTTAGGGACCTGGATGCACTTATTTTTCACTACATTTTAAAAAGGCTAATACTTATCATTACAACACCCACAAAAAGGGAGTCCCTAAAAGTGGTGGCCTAATGGGGCCCTCTCTGGAGAGAACTCTTCTGGAAGAGTGACCCGGAACAGAGTAGCCTGATCTGCAGGAGATGACCTTGACACTGGATTGATTAAGCCCCTGTCTCCCGGCCCCCCACTCCCCAGTGCACTCCCTGGAAGAAGAATGCCTGCTGCTCGGCCAACACCAGCCAGGAGCTGCACAAAGACACTTCCCTCCTGTATAACTTCAACTGGGACCACTGCGGCCAGATGGAGGCCAAGTGCAAGCGCCACTTCATCCAAGACAGCTGTCTGTACGAGTGCTCCCCCAACCTGGGGCCCTGGATCCGGCAGGTATGGGAGCACCCCACAAACATACCAGGACACTTGCAGGGAGGGTAGTAGGCCCCCACCCCCAGTCTTCTTCAGTCTGTAGCTGCAGGGACTCTCCCCTCTCCACACCCCACCCAGGTGGACCAGAGCTGGCGCAAAGAGCGTTTCCTGGATGTGCCCTTGTGCAGAGAGGACTGTCAGAGCTGGTGGGAGGACTGTCGCACCTCTCACACCTGCAAGACCAACTGGCAGAAAGGCTGGAACTGGACCTCAGGTAAAGGCCTAGGTGGGAGGAGATGGGAAATGGAAGTAGTGTTTCTGATGGGGGTTGGGAAAGAAGTGGTCTGGCCCCAACACTAAGGACCCTTCCCCTCCACCCTCAGGCATGAATGAGTGCCCGGTCAAGGCTGCCTGCCACACATTTGAGTTCTACTTTCCCACACCTGCCGCCCTGTGTGAGGGCCTTTGGGATCACGCCTACAAGGTCAGCAACTACAGCCGAGGCAGTGGCCGCTGCATCCAGATGTGGTTTGACCCGGCTCATGGCAACCCCAACGAGGAGGTGGCGAGGTTCTATGCGGAGGCCATGAGCCGGGCTGCACCCCGTGGCCACGGGCCCCTCCTGTTCTGCCTGGTCCCGCTGCTGCTGCTGTGGCTCCTTGGCTGAGGGCCTGCACTGCCGACGACACCTGGACAGCACAGCCTGGCCTGCATCCTTGTCCTGGACCCAACTGCGTCCCTGGGCTCAGCTCTCTCAGATGATGGCCCTCACAACCACTCTGCCTGTGCCCTGATCATTGGTTTGTACCCCAATGTGGGACCCCTGGGGTTCCTCTGACCGCTTATTCCGGCATGTCCATTTGGGCAATAGCCAAGTGTACTTGTGCCCCCGGTCCCAACCCTGCAAAGCCCACTATGTCAACCTTTCATGACCTTTTAATGAATTTCTCCTTGGAATTTTTCATTGCTACTATGTGTGTTCATTACTGGAAGGCATGCTGAGTAAAGGAGCATTTCTGAAATTTTATTTTGAAATGTGGTCTCTAATACATATGTGTGTCATATATATCCCTCTGGACTCCAGAGGTAGATATGTGAAATCTACATGCTCTGCACTGCCTTCCAAACCCTGCACCGGTGTGTCCAATATATGTAACCTGAGCAAGAGGTGATCACAGGAACCTGAAATTATTAGGGGAAATAAAACTTCCAATTAACACCAGTTCCCCAGGAAGTACACTTACAAGGCTTCTTGGTCCAGCTTACAGTGCATATGAGGCAATTGAGAATACCTCGGCTTGGGACAGGCACACAAACACTAGTGAACATTGATAAAGCAGATCCATGGGGCTGTATGCATGCCTGCAGAGGAAGAAGTTCAACCCCCACATATGTGCAATGGGAGGGGAGGAGGATGAATGGTGGAGAACACAAAGCACCTTACAGGAAAAGGACGTTTTTAACTAATAAAGAAAAGTTAATATTTTATTCACAATCCTATTTTCTAATAGCTATTTAGTACTATCAGTAAATTGA